GAACACGAAGATGCCCTGGGGGGAGAGAGGCAGGTGAGGTCCCGCGGGGCACGCCCGCGCACGGCAGCGACACGCGTGTGCCCGCAGCGGCCGCCGGGGGGCGCTCAGCGCCCGCGGCACAGCCCGGGCGGCGGCCCACGCGTGTCCCCACGCGCGGCGGCCCCGCTCACCACGCAGACCAGCGGTGTCACCACAGCCCAGCACCACTTCATCACCGGCAGGGGCCGGTAGCCGATCATACGGGCCACGTCGTCCATGAAGCGATCGGCACCTGCGGGGAGGAGGGTGTCAGCTGGGGCACTTGTGTCCCACCGTGTGTCCCACCTTGTGTGCCCCTCCTCCCCGTGTCCCCCTGGCCTCACCATAGACCCAGGCAATGACCACGCACTCCCAGAAAGCCTGCCACAGCAACGTGATCCCGCTGGCCGAGTAGTTGTCAAAGAGCTGGAATACGTACATGCCGCCCTGCCGGGAAGGTGCCCGTGTCACCAGCATTGTGCTGGCTGCCCCTCTGGCCGCCACACTGGCAAGTTATAGCCCTGCCAGCACCGGTATCCTGCCTGGCACGAACACCCTGCATGCGATGGGCACCCTGCTCCCACAGCACCCCTACGCCACAGAGACCCCCATGCCACGGGCAGCTCCACCGACACGAGGGCAGCAGCCCCAGTGAGCTCCCACCCCACAGCGGGATCTCATGGGAGGTGATGCCTCAGAAACAGGCCCGTGTGGGGCTGGCCGGCAGTGTCCCTGCTATGTCCCCCACCTGTGTGACCATGGAGAGGTCAATGAGGCAGCAAACGATGCAGCAGAGCGCAGCGGTGAGCTCACGGCGCAGCGAGCCAGCCCCCGGCTGGGGGAACAGGTCCAGGATGCCCGTGATGAAACCCTCCACACCGACAAACTGTGGCACAAAGCAGGGCTCAGTGGGGACGTGCCACCCATCCTCTGCCTGCTCCCCATCTCCCTGGTTGCCACAGTACCTGGCTGTCCAGCCCCAGAACGAGAAGCATGACGAAAAAGAGCGTGGCCCACAACGGAGACAAGGGCATCAGCGTCACAGCTTTGGGGTAGGCGATGAAAGCCAGCCCGGGACCTGCAGGAGAGTGGGGTCAGAGATGTCACTCGAGGGGTGACACAGAAGACACAGCTGGCGCCCACCGCCCATCACTCACCAGACTCGGCCACCATGGAGATGTCCACGCCTTGCTCAGAGGCCATGAAGCCGAGCACAGAGAAGACAACGAAGCCGGCAAAGAAGCTGGTGCAGCTGTTGATCACAGCCAGGATGTAGGCATCCCTGTGGGCACAGCATGTAAGGAAGTGCTGGGGGGCACTGGGGGACACCCCAGGGGCCACTGGGACACCGCAGGGGCTGCCTGCAGCTGGCACAGCCCTACCTGTAGCAGTTGTTGTGGAAGCGGTTGTAGCTGCCCAGTGCGGTCAGGGCGCCCAGCCCGATGGCATAGGAGAAGAACACCTGGGTGCCAGCATCAATCCAGACCTGGGGTGTGAGGGAGGATGTCAGGGGGTGATGAGGGTGCCAGGGCGTTGTCCAGCACCCAGCTCCTTGCTGCTCTCCCCGGTGCCCTCACCTGTGCCTCAACCAGCTTGGACCAGTCAGGTTTCAGGTAGTAGATGATGCCACCCAGCGCGCCAGGCAGTGTTACCCCGTGGAACAGCAGGAGGATGAGGACCACATACGGGAAGAGTGCCGTGAAGTAGACAATCTGAAGAGCAGTGGGTGGCCATGAGACCCCCCGGGCCAGGGCTCTCTGTCACATGCCACAGGTGTCCCAGCAGGACCAGAGGGTGGGAATGTCCCCAGCAGCTGGAAGCACCTCCTGGACAAATGTGGGACACAGGCCTCCCACCCCTGTGGGCTGTGGCACAGGAGGGCAGGAGCCAGCAGTGCCATGTGTTGCAGTCTTCTCTCATGCCCGTGGCCCTGATGCCTGTACCCCCGCCAGCATTACCTTCCCAGTCGACTTGACACCCTTCCAGATGCAGAAGTAGACAACGATCCAGGTGGTAAGCAAGCAGATGATCATCTGCCAGTTCATCTCCCCTGGCTCGCTGAGGCCCCCAGAGAGACGCAGCACCTTGTTCCTGCAGAGCGGGGCTGTGCTGAGCACCAGCAGACACCCCCAGCCCCAGACAACACCCTCCTGGTTCCCACACTCACTCCCAAAACTCAATGACAGGTGAGCGCTTGTTGGACATGTCGGCGCAGCTGAAGTTGGAGGTCCAAGTGATGACAGTGGCATTCGCGCTGACATTGTGGCACAAGTCCGGGTTGAAGAGCTCCGTGCACTGCTCCGTGTTCCAGGAGTGGCCACAGGTGGCCCAGGGCAGGGTGTTCGTCAGCGAATGCACCAGGTAAAAGAGCCCCCACACCAAGATCATGATGTAGTAGGAGTTGCAGAAGAAGACGATCACCATAGAGGCCAGGCCTAAACCTGTGGCACGGGGGGATCAGAGCCCACAGGCACCTGTGGGCATCTAGCAGCCAGCATGGAGTGGGATTGGGGGTGCTGTAGGGATGGGGGAGGACAGCAGAGAACTGACAGGGACAGGACAGGGAAAGCTGTCAGCCCTGGACAGGACAGGGGAGAGCCGGTGGGAATGGGACAGGGAAGCTGGCAGCCCCAGGCAGAACAGGACAGGGTGGGGACAGCTGGTAGCATGGCACAGGACCAGGGGGGAGCCAGAAAGATACCTCTGGAGGTGGGGATCCAGCAGCTGCCTGGGATCCAGCAGCACGCAGGCAAGGAGCCACAGGGGCAGGCAAGGCAGGCAGGGCAGCACGGGGTGCCACGGGGCACAGGTGCAGGCAGCTGCCATCCTTGGCCACGGCACTGGCGGCAGTGGGACGCGGGCAAGGTGCAGGGGAGCAGGCAGGGCGTGGGCAGGGTGCTGCCAGCCCCAGCAGGCTGCGTGCAGCCCAGGCACAGTCAGGGTGCAGACAGGGTGCCGGGGGCCCTGGGCAGGGTGCAGGGGCCGCGGAAAGGGTGCGGGCAGGGTGCGGGCAGGGCGCGGCGTTACCCTTGAAGAGGGGGGCGATGTTCCAGGCGGCGATGCCACCCTGCTTCATGAACTGTCCCAGAGCCACCTCCAAGAAGAAGATGGGGATGCCGCCCACGAAGACGATGAGCAGGTAGGGGATGAGGAAGACGCCTGGGGCCGGGGGCAGGGGGCCGGCTCAGCCGCCGCCGTCCCCCCGGCCCCCCCTTTTGCTCCCCCCATTCCCTCCGCCGCCCGCCCGGACGCAGCGAATGGCAAAGGCGCCTCCGCGCCCTCCCCTCGCCGCGATGTAGGTCAGCACGGGCAGGTGCTGGGGGGCTCCCACGACCCCCCGCCCCGTGAGTGACTCCGGAACCCCGCGGGGTGGCCCACGAGCCCCTCGAAGGCTCAGGGCGAGCTGACCCAGCGTGGGGTGACCCCCAGGCACACACTCTGGGGCGGCAGGGGGTGCCCCCCGCGCCGCACTCCCGCGGCGTGGGGCGAGCAGGAGGCTCACCTCCGCCGTTCTTGTAGCACAGGTAGGGGAAGCGCCAGACGTTGCCCAGCCCCACGGCGAAGCCCACGCAGGACATGATGAAATCCATCTGCCGGGTCCATGTCTCCCGTTCGGGGGCGGCCTCTTTGGGGGGACCAGGGGGTCGCACCAGCGGTGCCGTCACTGTTCGCTCCTCGCCCGCCGTGGGGGGCTCTGTGCCCTCCGCCCCGCCGGAGCCTTCTGCCGAGACGGGGGGAGTGGGGATGCCCACGCCGCCGTCACGCGCGCCCGTGGGGGGAAGCACCTCCCCCCCGTGCGCCCCTCTCCGCGCGTAGGGGCGTGACGTCAGATGTCAGGCCGGCGCGTGACGTCACAATGCAGAGCGGTGACTCACCCCGCGGCGGCGGGAGGGGGCGCGCCGCGGTCACGCGTGGCCGTGGGCCCCCCTCTTCCCTCCCCACGCTCATCCCTCCCCGGCGCTCCCCGCTTACCGGAGCCCGCGGGGGCAGCGGCGGCCGCGGCTGTGGTGGCGGCGGCGTCGCGTCGCGGGGCGTCGGGCGGCTGCGGGGCGGCCGTGTCGGTGGGAACGGGGGGCATGTCGCGGGGGGCCGGGGAGCGGGGGCGGGTCGGGGGCGGCTCCGTGGCCGAGGGGGGCTCAGAAGCAATCCACGAAGCACTTGAAGGTGAGTCGGAAGAACCTCATTGAGGGCGGCGGGGCGCGGCGGGGCGGGCCGGGCCGGGCGGGCGGCTCAGAGCCGGGCTGCGGGGCCGGCGCCGCGCGGCCGCTCCGGGGCTCTCTGCGCCGCGGCACCGGGCGGCGGCGGAGGCAGCGACCGGCCGCACCGCCCCCCGAGCCCCATTGGCCGCGCCGCCCGCCCGCGGCTTGACGGGACTTGCAGTTCCGACGCACTGGCACCGGCCCCGGGGCGAGGCGGGGAGCACGGGGGGGACAAGGAGCACCCGGCGGGATTCCGACACTACGGACCGCGAGGGACGGCGTGGGCAACGGGGGATACCGGCACGAGAGACACAAGGCAGCAGGGCACACCCGGGGACACCAGGGAGCGGAGCGCTAGGGTCAGCAGGTGACAAGACAGGCAGCGGGAGACGAGGCACTTCAGCGCATAACAGGGACTAGAACTCCGGGACTTGCACGTCTCGCCCCACCAGCAACAGGGCACAGAAGACACAAGGGACGAAAGCCACAGGATTTGCACCAGGGGACACCAGACAACAGGGTGCTGCCAGCAGCAGAACACACGGAGCAGCAGGCACCACAGAACACTGTGTCCCCCACCGCTGCTGGGGAGTGCACCCCGCAACGGCATCAGTCCCTGAGGGATATTGGGGAATAGCAAGCACCAAATCACACCAGGGAACACTGGAGCACGAGGGCACCCGGGGCAGCAGCGTGCTGGGAGCCCTATCAGCACACTGGGGACATGGTGCCCCGACTCACCAGGGGCAGAGGGTCCAAGGGATAGCAGGCAGCAGAGGCAAGTGGAGTTCAGAGAGTTTAATGAGCGCAGGACAAACCCCGATTCCCCCATCCCCCCACCCCCCAGTGCCTGGCCTGGCCCACACCCCCAGGCCAGGCCCCCCATGACACCCTAGTCGACTTCTTCCATGCTGCTGTAGGAGGGGGCCGGGCGCTCGGCGGGGCTGGCAAAACGCTCAGGGAGGCCTTCCGCAGCCAGCGGCGGGGCTCCTTCGGGGGCCAGGCCGGATCCGAACGGCACCGGGGGCAGACCCTGCAAGCAGAAGGTGGGCATGAGAGGGAGACTTGCACCCTGCCCACCCATCTCCCTCCCGTGCTCCTGAGGGGCTGGAGAGGTGCCCGGGGGGACAGCCCCACATGCAGAATGTGCAGCAGCTGGTGGCAAACCCCACGCAGGGCAGAGGGAAGCAGCGTGCCCAGGGCCGCTGGAGGCAGCCCCTCCGGCCCGGGGCCGCAGCACACTCCTGCCCCAGGGCTGCTCAGCCACTGGCGGCCGGAGCAGAGCCCTACACCCCAGCACGGGCAGCAGGGACAGGCCACAGGCACGCTGCCAGTGCCTGCCGGAGGTCTGAGGAACACAGCAAGGCCAGAGGGGATTTCCAGGGCTGAGAGCACCTTGTCAGGCCTAGCTGCCGGCCACCCACCGCCAATGAGGGCGGGCAGGTGCAGGCAGCAGCTTGTGGGCCCCAACCCTGGGGTGCCAGCACCAGTCGGAGCAGAGGTCAGCCCACCGGCGCCGGGCACTGACTCAGACCCACGAGGCCAGCACTGTGGGTGAGCGGGGGAAGTTGCTGAGACCCAGGGCTGTAGACAATGAGGCAACTGTTCCAGGACAGGCACCTCATGACCACAGCATAGCCCTGACGGGGGCTCCCCAGCTGGGACGTGCTTGGGAGGGGAGTAAACCTCAGCACGTGGAGGAGGGACAGAGGTAGGGGGAGTCCAGCTCAGGCTCCAGCCTAAAATGCAAACGAACCCCTTCACTGCAAAACATCCTTCCCAGGCCAGCTGAGGGCACTGCCAGCAGAACAGCAGTGGAGATGGAAAAGAAAGTCACAGGGCTCTGAAGTCACCTCTCACACCCAAATATGCCAGAGCTGTGTGAGCCACACTCAGCCAAGGGCAACACGTCTCAATGTCAGACACGGTTGGAGTAGCAGCCTGTGCCCCAGCCTCAGGGGACTGCCTGCTCCTGGCCCTGCTGGTTTCCCTACGCCCTGCACGTGTCCCGTGAGGCTCTCACTCCGCAGCTGGGACTGGAGCCCAGCCTGTGCCCCATGGCATGGGCAAGCAGAGCTCTCCCCTGAGCCTGCTGCCACACAGGGTGCACCAGACACTCAGCAAAGCCCAAGAGATGGTCCTGGTGCCAGCTGGGTCACAGAGTGGCCTCAGGTGACCCCAGTGTGGAGTCCTCGCCTCTGTGTGGGAGTCCCAGCACACAGGACAGGAATGCTGCATTTCTTTGGAAAACCTGGCTTTATTAATGTACCATGGTCATATCTGTGTTCCCTCCATGCCTCTCCCACAGCATGGGCAGCTGGTACCCTCGCAAATGAGGTGCTGCATCACACTGCCCTGAAGAGACCAACTCCCCCAGATGCTGCCAGCACACAGCCCCACGGACTGGTGGGAGGCAGTGACCCACAGAGATGAGTGCTCACCATGGGCACCTCAGTCTGGATTGCCAGGCTCCCCAGCAGCTGTCTGGGGCTCAGCAGGGAAGCACACAAGTCCTTGTTGACAAGCCTGTCCAGCCCCAGCACAGGAGCGCAGCACACACACTCCCAGCGCACAGGCAGCTGGCACCAGAAGGCTCAGCAGAAGGCCAGCAGGGCAGACTGGGCTGGCCAAGGACCGTGGGTAGCCCCAGGGGAGCTCAAGACTCCTGCAGCAGCACAGCTGAGACAGGTGGCCAAGCCAGGGCCCGTGTCAGGGCATCCTGCCCTTGCTGCAGCCTCCCGGCACGTCTCCACTTCTTTCTTGGGAGCCAAGCAGAGATGGTTCATGTGCCCATGGGGCTCTCAGGCCCCAGCAACACGCAGCAGCAACGTATCTTCTTGAGCAGCAGGTAAGCCTTGAGGCCTGCCCCACTCCCAGTGGGCAGCAAGGAAGGGCAAAGGAGTTTCTGGTTCTGGGCTGTGCCTTGGCAAGGTAGTAGGCTGGCCACACAGGCCTGCCAGCTGGCACAGGAGATGCCGGGGCAGACAGACAGGAGCCGACAGCCCCATGTTTCCCTTGGCGAGTCTTTCCCAGCGATTTCTGTCCTGCTGCCTCATGTCTTCGTCTCACAGCGTCCTAGGACGGCGCGTGCCCTGGCGGCCCCGCTCCCGCAGCTGGCCACGCGCCTGGGCCTATCTCCAGCGGGGCTGGTAAATGAGCGGGTAGAAGACGTTCAGGAAGAGAGCCACAATTGCAGCTGTGGTGGCCAGGACAAAGTATCTGACGCAGCCTTCATCTGGGTGGTGGGGGGTGCCCGGAGTTCGCTTCTGGCCACAGGGCCTCCAAGAGTTTCTTGCAGGCCTTTGGGGTGCCTCAAGCTGCAGCTCTTGTTCTTCAGCCTCCAGTTCCTGCCAGATCAGAGAAGCCTGCGATGTGGAAACCTGCGTCAGCACTTGGAGAACACAACGGGCAACACCCCTTGCCATCCCCCGGGGCAGGCAGCTGCCTGCAAGCCCAGCCCCGTGCCCAGCCAGCCAGCCCGCCTCCCCATGCAGCACCGTTGCGGTCGCGCCCGCCCCCGCAGCTCTTCAGGGTCTCTGGTGTGTGGAGCTCCGGTGGGTGGCTTTGTGGGAGGGAGCGTGGGCAGCTGCGGGGCAGGGTCTTCACGGGACTGCAGGGAGTGAAGCCAGCAGCTGGATCCCGATGGAGCAGAGGCACTTGCATTGGTGGATCCAGGAGGCAAGGGAGCAGGCAGCAGCCAGTCACAGCCCAGCTTCTGTGATCCCAACAGGATCCTTCAAATGACAGCCAATCCAGAGCCAGCTGGAGCAGCAGGAGCAGGAGGCACAGTGCCAGTACAGCCAGTCACAGCTCTGCTTTGGTGGGCAGGAATGCTCTGACAACCAATTGTAGCCCAGGTTCCAGGAGGATTTTCCACAGGCAGCCAGCCACGGCTTGGCCCTTCATGCCGGTGATCGTGCAGAGCAGCCAGTCAGGGAGCAGGTCTCTGGAGGGCACCGAGTGCCACGGAGGGTGCAGGTGGTCCAGGGTTCTTGGGGACCTGCTGAGCCCCACTGGGATCCAATGCATCCCATTACCGCAGGGGAACCAGTGCTGCCAGGGGCCCAGTGAACCCCAGTACCACAGAGCAACCTGACGAACCCCAGTGCCATGGGGCACACAGCCACAGTGCCAGTTTGGTCCCTGAAGGCTCTCACCACCAGTGTGTGAGAAGCAATGCAGCTTTCTCATTGCTCAGGCTGCCCCAGAACACACACACAGGGCAGGAACAGCCCAGGCAGGCAGACACCAGCATGTCAGACAGCCCCACTGGTCTCAGAGACAGGCAGCTTGTCCTTAGGCAAGAGGGCAGAGCTGGAATGCCTAACCAGCACTGGGCCAAGGGGAGGATGAGCCAGAGGGGCAGGAAGGCCAGGCCAGAAAGGCCTCTCTGGGCACACATGTGCAGTCATGCTGGAGATGAACTGAGCATTATCCTCAGACTCTGCAGGCCCACAGAGGTGCTGAGCATGGAGGGAACGTCTGCAGCACAATGCTGCCTGGGATCTGACCAGGTGGGCACCAGCCTCAGCTTTCCTGACTTCCACAAGAAGATCAGTGCAGCCATTCCCTACCACTGCATTCTGAAAGCACACTGCCATCCAGCCCACCCCCAGTCCCTCCCTCCCAGGCCACCCAGCAACAGAGCTCGCTCTGGCAGGTTTCTCTACAGCACCCTGTGAAGGCTGCCAGGCCTCTTGCTCAGCACTGGCATTTACCTTTTTTGCACTTGGCTTGGCCCTGAGTTGAGCCCCAGCAAAGTGTTCCCCACCCTGCCTTTAAAGTGGCTCCAGAGGGCAAGTTCTTACTGCTCCCTAGCACAACCAGATCCTACTGCACTGCTCACAACCCCTCCTCCAATGCAGACCCCAGTGAGGCTGTGCCCCTTTTTCCTCTTCCAGTGCCCTCCCACCAGCACCTCCACACTGATAATGAAAACCAGCTCTCCTGTGATCCCTCAGGACAGAGACTGTCCCAAGCCCACAGTGAGAACACGGCAAGACAGGCTCCAGTGCCCAGCTGGTGCAAGCTCTTTGGTATCAAAGGGGTACAGGCACTGCACCACAGCTGCACCAGGCTCTGTGGGTGCAGGTAAAGACGGGCAGGGCCCCTGAGCAAATTTCAAGGCTCTGTGGCTCCATCAGTGGCGAAAGGGACGCAAGAGCTCACCTGGCTGGCAGCAGCTTCGGCAGAGGGGGTGCGCTCGGCGCGGTGGTCTGAGGGATGCCCTGGCAGGGGTCTCTCCACAGGAGAGTTCCTCCGGCGGTAGAAGAGGACATAGGCGTATCTGGTCACCACCTGGCTCTCATCCACGGTGGTGACTGTGCTGTCGTCAAAGAGCCGCCAGCCTGAGGAGGAGGAAGGGTTAAGCAAGCAGAGAAGTCACGGCTGCAGGAGCAGAGGGGTGGCAAGGGTGGCAGAGGCTCACCCACGTCGCTGCGCTGGCTGTTCTTGTCATTGGGCAGGCGGGCGTATGCTGTGTAGTGCCCTCCAATCATGCCTCCATAGTGGTTGATCACAGCATACAGGTCATACACAGGCAGCTGCTGCTCGCCCTTCCGACCAATGCAGAACTTGCTCAGATCCAGGCTCCTATGGAGAGACACAGCGACCGTCAAGGGTGATCAGGCTGCGCTGCAGGTCAGCAGAGACAGTGCCAACCCAGACACATCATCCCGTGGGCTCTCACCGGACGGGAAAGTCCACCATGTCATTGATCTTGTCCCTCCAAATAAAACTGCGGAAGGAGAAGCGCTTGAGCTGAATGATGAGGACATTGGGCAGCCGCCACAGCATCAACTGCTTGGAAGCCTCACGGTGCTGCTTGCACTTGGGGCAGTACCTGGGGGAAGAGTGTGCTTGTTACTGGCACGGGGAGAGCCTCAGTCCTTGCAGCCCAGCTCAGCCCCAGGGTCCCCACATGCAGGGCTGGCAAAGGGTTCAGCCTCTTCTGTCAAGGGCAGGCCAGTACAGTCCTGCAGAGCACTAGCTTTGCTCCCCACTGGCTTAGTCCTTCCAAGTGCACAGGGAAGGCCAGCTCATTGTTCCTGGCTGCCAGTAGAAACAGCGTGCAGGCCCAGGTAGCTCCTGGGAAACCCCTGCTGCTGTCTGGGCCCGTTGGCTGGAACCCACCCTGCTGCCTTCCTCACCACGCTTCCTCTGGGGCCAGGACTTCAGGCTTCGTGAAGAGATTGAGGCACTGCTCCAGGGTGAAGTGGCCAGCCCGGGCTGCTTCGCTGGCCGAGCCTGGATCCTCCACACACTCCAACTCCTTAGATTCTACCAACACAAATTCCTTGAGGCGCTCATTGTTCTTCCACACCAGGGCAAGGGAGCAGTCGTCTGTCAGATCCAGGGTGGTGTCACCTGTCAAGGGGCACAGACCTCACACACCTACTGCTCCAGGCTGGACGAGGCCACCTTCCTGGAGCAATCTTGCCCATCCCAGTTAGATACAGCGATCAAAAAGTGCAGGCAGAAAGAGACAGGTACCCCCTGGCCACGCTGATCACGCAGAGCCCCTCAGCCTACAGGGTGCAACACTGGCACAGCCCTTTCATCAACAGTACCCTCACAACCAGCACTTGGTGTGGGCATCCCATTCAAACAAAGAGGTGACCCAGAGATCACAGACCCTCTGAGAATACATGAGGTTGGAAGGAATTGACCTATTTGCTGAGGAGAACAGGAATGTCATACCCAAGGAGAGTGTCTAAACAGAGGCTCTGTGCAGCAGAGCCCTTTCCTGCCCTGTCAGATGCAGCTTTCAGATGTCCCAGTGTGGACACCTGGGCTCATCTTGTGCCAGGCAGATCCACTACCCTGCCAGAGGCTGTAAGCAATGAAGGTGATGCTTTACAGGGTTCTGGCTCACCTTTATCTTCCAGCTTGTGCTCTCGGTTGGCAGAATCGATCTTAGTGATGTAGAACTGTGTGGCGCGGGCACTCAGCGAGTCTGGAGTGTGCTGGTACCCAGGGATGGCAGCTGTGAATAGGCACAGACAGATTTGTGGTGGCACTGCCTGTCTGCCCTGCGTAGGGGCCAAGAATTTGCAGCGCCCCCACCCCCACCTCACATGCTACGGCCTTGAAGGGACACAACCACGTGCCCGTGTCCTTGACTATTTTTAGCAGGCGCCTGCCCCTGGCAAGCTGTGCTCCTCTGCCTGCCTTGCCCCTTCACTGCACATTGCTGCCATCCTGAGACGAGTGTCTGGAAACGTGACAGCCAGGCAGCCGAGCGCAAGAGGCTGGTCCCATGCAGCTGAGTCAGAGCGAGCGAAGTGCTTTGCTCACAGCCCCCAGGGGCTCAGCCTGCACCAGCTCTGCCTTGCTCCCACAGGACTTCTGCCAGCCCCCACCTTCCCACCTCTCCCACAACAACACAACACCCCAGCCTCTCTGCTCATCAGGTCTCTGCTCTACACCCTGGGCTTTGCCAGGGCAGGGCAGAGCGTGGGTAGGCGGGCAGGCATTTCAGGTGAGGCAAGAGTGCCAAAACAAAGCTCCCATGGCCTCATCTGTGTTCCCAAGAATCTCCAGACCAAGCTCACAAGAGGAGAAGAGATGCTGTGCTGGGAGGTCACTCCAAGGAGGGAGAATTGCCTGAGCTCCTGGCACAGACACAGCCAGCACTTCAGCACCTCTTACCTTCTGGCTTGAGGGCTCTCTCATAGGATGGCTCCTTCTCACAACAGCTGTCACCCTGCGACTCCATGTGCTCAGAGAACCCTGAATCCAAGCTCAGGAGGGAACTCCTGGCTGTCAGGACCTTGCTCCGGACAGTGGTAGTATCCCCCATCTCTGGCTGCAGCTCAGGCACAGCTGGCGAGAGCGGGGGCTCCTGAGGGAGGCTTGAAACCCTGTCCCCATCTCCCAGCTCAGGAGCAGAGGTGGCTGCTGCACAGCTGCTCTTGGCCAGGGGCTCCAGCTTGTCCGAGTGCAGAGGCTGCAGCCCCTGCTCCGGTGACATCCGGCCCAACTGGAATGGAGGCTGGAACACGCTGACTGAGTACCTGGGCATGGAGGTGGGAGTTAGAGCTGGCCAGACATGGGGCTGAGCTCAGCTCTGCAGCAGAAGCACCCTCCTTCCCTGGACTCTCACCTTGCGTAGCCCTCCAGCAGCTGGGCCAGGCGGGCATAGGTGAGGCGGGACTCGGGCACACTGATGAGGAAGGGGAAACCGATGTTCTCAGGACGGCACGATGCCTTGTGGTCTGGCCAGTGTGTTTTCTGACATGCCCTGTAACACACATAGACCCTGCTGAACTCAGCACCCTTGAACAGCCTGGGAAGGAGCACTGCAGGGCCAGACGGTTGGGGACAAGGGGAACACCAGGAGTTCAAGTGGCTCCATCCCAAAGGGCAGATCCATCCCACCTTTTCCCAACAGGCAGAGCTCTCCCATCCAGCCCTTCACAGCAGGAGACCCTCCATCCCTGCCAGGCACCAAGCCAACTCACACGTTGCAGTAACCAACTCGATAGCACCTCGTGCAGCGCTTGAGCTTCTCATCCTCTGGCAGCTGCTTCTTCTGGCAGGCTGCACACTTGGCGACAGGGCCACTGGGCACCTGCGAACGCTGCAGGAGAAAGGACCCATTGGACAGGGAAGGGCACCTGGGCAGGACAAGGCAGCCTTGGTGGGCATCCATGCTCACTGTAGCTAACTGCCCTTGTGTGCAGTTCTGCCCCTCCTGCTCAGTCCCACTTATGGCTCAGCCTTCCTGCACCCCTCCCAGTAGTCCCAATATGCCTTCTTACCTGCTGGACCTGAAGCTCCACCACACGTTCCTTGGCCAGCTCTGGGGACAGCACCTCAAAGCAAAGCAGCAGGTCCGTTGGCGAGACTGTGTCTAGGGAGTGAGATGGCAGGAACATGCGGTGGAAGTGATTCTTGATCACCTGCCAGGAAAGCAGTGGAGCATGGCCGTGTGAAGGCTGCCCTATGTGTCCTCTCCTCAGAGAGCCACAGACCTCAGCCTCACAGTGAGCTGTGGGAAGAGCAGCAGCTCAAGGATGCTGTGCTCAGCTCACCACCTCACAAGGGAAAGATGGACAACCCCAGGCCCTACTGTGGTGGCCTAACCCTTCAGAGCAGGTATGTGCCCAAACTCTCACCTCTGCCAGGCGCAGGTTCTCTGGTTTCACACGCACGCTGTGGGCAACTGAGTCAAGTACCTCCATGGCACTGGAGTTCTCCTTACTGATACTCACGAGGAACTGCCACCAAGAAAGTGTCACGTTAGTCACACCACACTAAGGCATGCGGGCCCTTACTTAACACACGGCTTAGCCGGTTGGCACACGAACAGCTGCCTGGGGCACCTCCAGGAGCCTTCTCAGGCTCCCTCCCCAAGGTAGAAGCATCCTTTACCTTGATGGGTTTCTTGTGTGGCTCCTTTGCAAAGTAGTAGACGGTCAGCACCTTTTGCTTCTGTGGGAGGGGCACGGGGAGGTACAGGAAGGGGTCAAAGGTAATAGATACCTGCAGATACAAAAACACACTCAGCTGTGGGAAGTGCTTGTGGCTGAGCAGCAGATCCAGTGGACCCAAGATCCAGCCTTGCCCTGTGACCTGTGCTCTCTGAGGGTCAGGAGCATACTTCTGCACAACCAGGACAGGGAGAGAACCTTCAGGGCTGCCCTACCTTGGAGCACATTGGGCACACGAGCTTGGATTTGTACTGGCCCTGGAAGAGGTCTACTATGAACGAGTCATTCCTCATCTTGTGTCGTTGCCAAGCCTCCTCAGCTACCACCTGCAGGAACAAAGGGCTTAGCACCTCATTATACCACCCAAGCTGTTCTCCCAGTGACTTTGGGGAAGGAAGACCCTCACCTCATCAGGCCTCCCATCTGAGTCAACAGTCTCTGTGTAGGGCTTGTTCTGGATGCGGTTGAGGTCCTCATGCAGGCCATCAAGCAGAAAGGCCATAAATTCCTGAGCATCATGCTGGGCATAGCCAGTGAACTGGCTGGCCTTGCTGGCCACAATTGCCTGTGGGGAGCACAGTAGTCAGGGCTGGTCAGCAGACCTCTGGCAGCACTGCCTGCCCCATGCACAAACCCTGGCTGCACCCACCCACACACAGCTCTCTGTGGCACTTGCAGGGCAGCCAGGTACCCACAAAGGAATGCTGGGGACCCACAGCAGGTCCTGCTGAGCACCAATGCCAAGGGCCCTACCTTCAGTTTAGAGGGCTGGAAGGCATGGTGTGTGCCCTTCCACAGAGCTCTGAGCAGCATGGCAAAGCCGATGGCCAGGCGTCCACCCGTCCCCAGCGGGTTGTTATAATTGATTTCTGACTCAAAGGACCGATCTGTAAGAAATGCAGGAGCTCAGGGTGGCTGCTGGCTTCATCATCTGAGTAGCCAAGCTCTGCTGGGCTCCCAGTGTGGGCTCACCATGGAAGTAGTCACGCAGCTCCCGGGTGTTGGACAGGGACTGGATGACACTGTTCATGAAGCAGGTGTTGCCCAGGTTCACCAGCCCCGTGAATCCAGGCAGGCAGACTTTCTTCTTCTCATCCTCATCCTCATCATCCTCCACGCTCTCGGCACTCACAGGGCTGTGTGTCATTGGTGGCACCATACATGTCGGCTTGGGCTGCCAAAGCAGAAGCAAGTGTGAGAGTGTGGCACTCCGGGAGTCTCTCTGGGAACACCAGAGGAACTCAAAAGCCCAAGAAAACCCCCAGAGAGGGCTGAAGCCATCACACCATCTCCCACTTGGACTGGGACAGACAGGCCAACGGGTGCCCCCAGTCCTGCTCCAATGACTGAGGGACACCACACTTCCTCCTCCAGGAGTACTTCAGTGTCCAGTGTGGCACTGAGGAGGTGTCTCTCTTTCCCCTATCCAGGTCAGAGCCAGCATGACCACACTCACCGAAGGAATGTGTGGCTCCTGCTTCACTGCCAAGTGCTCTGTGGCCGTACGGGCTGCCACACCATCCAGAGCCCCATCTTCCACACGTGGCTTCTCTTTGTCACTGGTTCGGGCCTCTTCCTTGCTGGAGAGGGGGTGCTGGTTACTGCCCGGAGGGTTCTTATCCAGAGGGGTAGGGCCTGTAGGCATGGCAACCTTTGCACCACCCACTGCACCTTAAAAAGGGGGAAGGGTGGGCCTGTGGTTAGCAGCACCATACACTGCCCACCGTGGGGCTGAACTGCTCAGTCCACACTTGCACAGGCTCTCTCCTACCCATGAGCAAGGGAAACAGCAGTGCCCTTCTCCTATCCCTTGGCTCACATCCCTCCTACCTGCACCCACTCAGCCCCTCTCCTTCCCCACCATTCCATGCCAGAGGACCCAGCACCAGCTGGCAGCTGGTAGTGGTGAGGGTCCACGCCCCACTGCAGTGCAGCAGGCAGGCAGGACGGACACGAAGGCAGGGTGCAGACCTCGTGTGGCTGGAGCCTCCAGCCCCCCCCCAGCGCTGGCTCTGGCGTTTCTTCAGGCAGACATCAATGCGAGACACCGTGAAGTTGTATGTGCACTGGTCCGGCTCAATCAGGTTCCTGCAAGGCACGCAGCAAGTCAGAGGTGCCCAGACCCCACAGCAGCCTCAGACATGCCAAAGCCTTTGCATAGCACATCCATGGCCTCCAGGCAGTAGGGACCCTGCTAACACTAATTCTGAGGTAGCCCTGGCAAAGCAGGGTGGAAACCCTCGAGCCTGGCCACACTGAGCACACAGAGCACCTCTTTTCTGACAGATCCATTCTGCTTGACTCTCTCCTGCTGCACATCCTACCCAAAGGGCACACAGGCTGGTCTGGCTCTGTCCCAAGAGCTCTAGAACAGCCTGGGGCAAACTGCAGGCAAGGAGAGACTGGGATTTCCTCCTCTGCAAGCAGCACTCAGCCAAGGCAGACCAGGCTCAGGGCACCAGTGTAGCATGGTATAAGTGAAACCTCCAGATGCAGAAACGAGTGTTCCCTGTACAGAACCACCAGATGGGACTGGTTCCTGCTCCAGCTCTGCACTCTCACCCCCCTTGCCCTGGTGTGGGTTAGAAGGACAGGAGTCATACCTGAGTTTCACCTGCCACCGGAACACCGTGTGGGGCCCACAGCCAGGATGGAGACGAAGGAAGTTCGAATCACTGCAGAGAAATTGAGTGAGCAGAGGTGAACAAACAAGTAGCCCAGCCACAATCAGGAGCTATGCAGCAGCCTGGCATCATCCCGAGGCAAACTTGTACCTCGTCTGGAACACTAGTGTGAAGTCTTGTTCCCGGAACAACACCTTGGATGTCTCCTTGTGGATCTCCTTCACATAGACATGCACCACCACCAGATCATTGCCCTTCTCGTATGAGTCATTCTTGACAAAGGTCAGGCTTACAAAAGGCTCTGGCTCTGAGTAAGGAAAACCACAGAGAGAGAGATTATCTTCCTTGCATGTTGGGGATGCAGGCTGACCCAGGAAAGGTCCTGAGCAGATGGGCCTTCCTGACCAGGCTCACCCCATGGGCTCTGGCCACTCACCGTCAGCTGCTGCTTCCAGAGCCACGTCGTCCTTGGACCAGTCCCTCTTCTCACCATCTCTGCCCATGGGAGGGGTGGCCACTGGGATGGCCTTAGAGCTCTCTCCCAGGATAGGCAGGCAGTCCCGGCTCCGCAAGGCCTCAGTAGGGCTGCCTGGCTGCAGGACTCTCTTCTCAACACAGGTGGCAACACGGTGGGGGAGCACCTCTGTGGTAGCTGCAAGAGGTGGCATCTCCACGGGAACAGTCTCTTTGGCCAAAACCACAGCCTTTCAATACAGAAAGACACAGTGAAACACAGACACTGTCATCCCTGAGCTGCCCTGGCCCAGCCACCGTGGCTCCTGCCAGCCAGTGAGGCACAGCTCCATACCACCCGCTCTCCCTGCACATCCCATGCCAGCTCAGCCCCACTAGCACCACAGCACAGCAACTGCAGGGTCCTCACTTCACCCTCTCCTCCACCACAGGTCCTCCTGTCAGCCCTCAGCATCCCAGAGCCCACCTCATCCTTCTTGGCAGGGATGGGTCCTGCATCCCCTGCACAGGGCAGAGGAAGCAGGGGTCCCCTGTCCAGCCAGGTCCCCAGGTACCTTCTCGAGTGGCAGTGCCAGGTCTGCGAGGGCCGCGGGTGCCTCGGCCTGGCTGGCTCTGCCGTTGCGGCGGCTGCTGGCTCTCCCACTGTGCCCTTTGCTGGGCTCTGTGCTCCCGGCGACCCTGGCATTCGCCTCCTCTTCAGTGGGAGCTACTTTGAGGTATACTGCCCTCTTGGCACTGGGGCCACTCTGTGTCCCTGGGCTGGCTGGGCTTTTCCCTCCCAGGGCCTCGCTTCTTCCTGGAGCACGCTTGGGGTTGGAGGGCTCTCGCCGGGATCTTGGTGGCTCTGTGCCTTCAGCCCTCAGCTCTTCAGGGGTCAGCTCTGCAGAAGCAGCCTTCTCCTTCCCATTCTCCCAGCACGCAGCCCCTTTGGCCAGTTCTTTGGATCCGTCTTTCCTTTTTTTCTGTAAAAAGCAATGCAGCACAGTGGGAAGGTATTCAGGTAGCAGCATCTTTCAGGCTCCCTATCAACCCCTCACCCTCACTCCCCCTTCCCAGACTGCACCAGGACTCTACTCCAGAACCTGGGAATGCATGGCAGGCAGAAACAGGGATACAACTCCCTGGGACAGTGGCAGATGGCTCAGGCAGCACGTAGATGAAAGATGCGCCCCACATTGCTCCCTGGGCAGCTCAACAGCAGGGAGCTTGGAGCTGACCCCAGCTCCCCAGGGCTCCACAAATTCCCTTAACAGACAGATTATTGCCTCCTTACCAGAAGTGAAGACCAGTTATGGAGTGGGATCTTCTTCTGTAGCACAAGCTGTAGAAAGTTGCCCTTCTTGCACTGGATCTTGCTGCAGGAGCTCTCGATCTCTTCATAGAACTGACAGCTCCACTGGCGCCCGTCTGTAAAGCAGAGGGGAACCACTACCTCAGGCAGTGCTCCAGGCAGCTGTCACCTAACCCACAGCCCCCTTTCACCTGCCCCCAGGATGAAGGAAGCACTCATTCAGAGCCAAGAAAGCTGCAGGCAGGCTGCCACCATACCCCAGGAGCCTTCCAGGGCTCCAGCCAGCTTCCCTGAACTTGCTTTGTACATCTGGCTGGCCTCCTTCCCAGTGGGAAGGCCCTGGGCCTCCCTGCCCTCAGGGGCACAGTCATTTTTCCAAAGGATACCCGGGACTGACTCAGCCATCCCAGCAAGCAGGGGACAGAGACGCACTGGCGCGGCCGTGGACATTTGTTCACTTGGCACAGAGGCCAGCTCCTGCCCTCCCCAGCTCTACAATGCTCTCCTATGGGCCCTGTCTGCTGCCTGAGTGTGTGCCAGCTGAGAGCAGGGCATTGCCTCTGAGGGAAAAGTTTGATGTCTGCCTGTGGCAACCCCGTGCGTGGCACAGAGCTGCGCCAAATCCCAATGGATAAATGCTAGCAGCAGCTGGTCCATTGCCATACCTGGTAGTTTGACCACACAGTCTGTGTCAGTGAAATCAGCATGTACATCCTCTGCCTTCAGAGCTCCAGTGCCCAAATTCAACTTGATAATGATCTCATCGGCATTCTGCTTCCAGTCCAGCAGCAGCTCTAGGAAAAGGGAGGGAAGTGTCACCCACTTGCTAGGGAATGAGCCTGAAGTGCCCACTCCTTGGCTGGGGAACACAAGCCTGAACACACACGCAGTTAAAGAGGTCACCGCAGGAAACGCAGATCATGACAATTAAAAGGGACCTGCCCTCATCAGACAGGCCACAAACAAGAGCACATGTTGCAGCAGGGCGGATGAATCCCGGTGGGAACCGGAGAGATCAGAAAGGCAGTGCTGTTCTTGGCATTGCCACAAGCAGCAGTGGCAGCTGGGAAGAAAGGGTGGCTCCTGCCAGCGACAAAGCAATTACTGCTTTCCCAAGGAACAAGGAAGCCACAGAATTACTCTGGGGGATTTAGGTGGACTCTGACCACAATCAGAAATTGCCACTTCCCCTTTGCATATGCAAACCAAGCAGCTCAGCTGCAACCATCAAAGTAATGTACTCCTCCCAGGTGAGCATGGCTAACACGGCTGAAGGATGGACAGGCTGGCCAACGGGCAAGTACGCTGTAATGGGTGAGAAAAGAGTGAAGCAGTGGTACTCTGGTGCAGGCAGAATTTCCATTGTGTGCCTGCCAGGCTCTAGGTGTGGCCTTTGATGACCTGAACTCTTCAACACAAGGAAGTGATTTTGATCACCTTGATTTCAATCAGGTTTGTTCTACCCCTGGGACACAAGGACACCCTACTCTGTCCCCAGAGCAGGCCTGGACTGAGACAGAAACCAGTCAATGCTGCCCACAAGGTGACACAGCTTGGGATGTTCCCAGCACAGCATCATGTCCAACTCAGAAACAAGCAGAGCAGGTGTCAGCAGTGAGGCATCCCAGGCCTGTGCTCAGTGGCACTGTGACACCTGAGTTGCAAGCAGCCTGCCACATACTCAGGGCCTCTTCCTTGCAGACAGCCTTTCTCTGCCCCTGGGAAGGCTACATACTGTTAAGATAAACACTGAGGCAAGGGAGTGCTCATGTTAGCTCCGCTCAATGCCAGAGCACTGGACAAGGTGAGAGCTTCAGATCCCTTGGCAAGGGCACTCCATGGCCATGCACTGACAGCTGGCACATGCCTCGACTTACCCTCCTCTGAGTCCTTCTCCTGGGTAGTCTCAGCCTGCTCGAGCTCAGGGCGAGACACTGGTGGGCAGAGAAGCAGAGCGCAGGCAGGTCTGTCATTCTGTCACCTCACAACATAGGCCAGCAAGCTGATGCTGAAAATTTCACACATCACCTCGTTCTACCCTGAATCCGTGTCCAGGCCTTTCATCCTGCATGTGTTGCCCACTTCCCTCCTCTGCTTTCTCACATTCTCCTTCCCCAGAGTCCTGCCTGCAGCACTGCAGCAAGTCAGTGCCAGGACAGCTGCTCTGGGCCATACTACCATATCCCAGTCTCAACAGCCACACAGTGGGAGCAACACAACAATTCTGCACCACGCAGGCACTGCTTTTTTGAGGCACATCTCATTGTGAGCTTTTGGCATCCAGGCCCAGCTGTGTTGCCCAGCTTGGTACACCAGGTCCCAGCCCCCAGCCATATAGAGGAGTCCTGTCTTGATCTGACAGAAAGAACCTGGTGTTTGGTCATGCTCAAACTAATTCTGCTGTAACCAGAGAACCACGTGGCTCAGCTGCACTTTAACATTTCCATTCCTGCACAAGCTGCCAACGTCCACATCTGAAAACCTCCTTCCAGATCAGAGTGAGGAACCAAACTGACCTGACACCTAATCCCTGCTACCCACAGAACTACCTCCAACAGCCAGAAGTGTCTCCAGGCCCGCTCTAGCCCCACAGGACAGTGAACTCTGCCAGGCAAGGAGACCAAAGTGACAGCACATTCTCCTGGAGTGGAGAAAGAGTGGCAACAGGAACTGTGGTCTCCACTCAGGAATATTCAGAGGGCTGTCTCTACCTCCCTTGACCAGGTACAAACCAGTAGGAAACTTCTGCTGACCACTACAGCCACTGGTGCAAAGGTGCTGGTGGGGCTGGCAGTGTGAGAGGCACGGCAGTAGCACTGTGTGGAGGATCTAGAGTCTCTTAACACCTCTCACAGAGGGGACAGGGGCAGCATGGCTGCCCCCAAGACAGCCCCCACGTCAGAGGATGCAGAGCCAAGCCCTACCAGAGGCGCACTCCTCCCATGTGAGAGAAAGAGGCGCTGTGCTCTGCACTGTGGGATTTCACATCGGGGACTGCGCCCGGCTGCTCTGGCACAGACCTCGCCAAGCACTCAATTACCTTGGCCTATAAAACACCCTGTGATTTGAGGTTACAGTAATCATAACAGAGCAGGCACAGAAATCAAACAGCTTTCCAGAGCCACAGAGAGTCTTGCAGTCATCCTGCCCGCAGGCATTCACTGCACCCGAAGCATCATTTTTGTCAAAGGATACATGACAATTAAAGAAGGAATTATTCTACAGCAACTACTTCACCTGAACCACACCCTGTTCTGACTCAGAAGCTAAAGCACCAGCCCCACCCGCAGGCCTTGCACTCCTGGTCACAGTGCTGCCTCCAGCTGCAAGAGCACCCACAGGTTTCAGTTCCACTCTCACTGGATTGGGGCAGATCACACTCAGTCCAAAGCAGAGTCTAGAAACAATCACCAAGGCCAGCTGCAGACTTTAGCTAACAAGGCCACATGCCCAACCTTCCTAACATCGCTGCAGCTAAGTAGTACCCAAAGAAAGGAGGTTACAGGTCCAGGGAGGACACTGTGTCAAGAAGATCCCACATCACACGGGTTACCATAAGCCGCAGGAAGTGATTAGTCAAATCTGCTTATCCTGCAGCAGATGGCTGAGAGGCTCCAGGCTGCGGGGCTGAGACACCCCGGGCCTGCTCACCAGTGATGCTGAGGGGCTCTCACCTTCCTTGCTTTCCTGATTGGCTCGATCCTTCTGCTTCTTTTTGTTGGTGGCATCATCCAAGCCCCGAGATGTTCTCCTCTGGCCAGGGGCATTTGTGCTGCTGGACATCTTCAGCCGTTTGGAGGACACAAACAGCCCGCCGGGGTCGGTAATGGAGTCTGGGTCAGGGGTGCGACGTTTTCTTCCTGGCCCAGCTATCTTGGCGACTCTCTGTGGTCAAACTCTCTGGCAAGGAAGTAATGGCCTAAAGAGAGGAAAGAGCAAGCATGGCAGGAGGAGCAGGTGGAAAAGGCCCAACAGCAGCAGGATCCACTCTTTGCCTCAGGGCCAGTGCCCTTACATGACCTTCACCATGGTGTTTATGGGAAGCCCCATGCAGCGCTCAATGAGGAAACCTACCTCATCACAGCTGCTACAGTGCTTACTGCCAAAAGCATGGGCTTGTCAGAGCTCCCAACATACAACCAGGGGTCTTCAGTATGTGGCACACATTAAAAACCTGGAAAGCAAGTGTCATGCTCATGGCTCCCACTATAGCAACACTGGCCAAGAGCAGCTGCTGGCACTAACACCCAGAGACACAGGCGAGGGCAAGGGCATGAGGAGGCCTGGATCTGCAAAACTGAGCCTCCAGAGTCAAGCAGGGGAGCCTGTCACACAGCTTCAAGTGACAGCTATTTCAGTCAAACAGTGTCCTGTGTAACAGCACCAGAATAGGAACCAGTAACACCCTAAGAAGGAAGCAGGCCTGGGACAGTCTCCCATGACAGATGAGAGCAGAGCACCCTGGCAACAGCAGAGTTCCTCCCCCTTCTCCCACTAGCTGGGAACTTAACCAGCATGACTGCACCTTGAATATTTATCTCCCAGCCAGTTTACAGACAGCGTCAGCGGGGCCTGGCCTGGAAACAGGACACCTCTGCTCCTCGTGCCCCAGGAACAGAGTAGGCTAAGCAGGGCATGTAAGTTGTTCACCCCTGTCCCCTTTGTAGACATGCCCTCCCTACAAAGCCAGCTCCCCTACAGGACTTGCAAGCTGATGGCCCAGGTGCACTCGTCAGTGTCACCCTGCAGTGTTCAGGGCTTTGAGAGAGCAGAGACGAAACAACCCACTGAAAGCAGTCCCATTGGAGGTGTCCCCGTGGAGGCAGTGTGAGCAGAGAGCTGGGAAGGTTTCCTCCCTCGCTGCCCTGGCTGCACACCCTGACCCTGGCAGTGCCTGCCAGCCTGCAGGGGTTTGCAGCAAGGAAACGGGCCCAGCTCGGATCCTGCCCACCCCCAGGCGCCAGCTGCCTGCCACAACTCCCAGTGCACTGTTTCACACACATCCCACGGCCTGGCTCCCGTCTGAGGACATGGAGCCAAGCCCAACAACACCTTGGCCTAGCCCAGCTCCACTGAGCTTGCCTCTCCATCAGTGGGAGGCAAGCTGTCCCTCAGGAACACTCTGTTCTGCTTTCAGCCACGTACCAAGCACAGACCCTTGCCGTGCATGGGCACAGCCAGAGGCAGGAGGTACCTCCAAGGGAGGCACTCTGACAGAGGAAGGACACTGCCAGCTCTGTCCTGCCAGTCCCATTTTGCCAGGGCATTTGTGTTCTGGAAATGTTCAGGGCAACAAGCAGCCCCAAACTGAGAGGAACCCCAGAGAGCAAAGCCTTGCCCTCAGCTCTGGCAAAGCCAGCCCCATGACCGGTGCTGCATCCAAACCACTTCTCTGCAGGCCAACTCGCCCTCACCACAAAGAGCCACCGAAGCCAAGTGAAAAGCTGAGTCCAGCCCAACTTCCTGGCACAGACAACTCCTGCCACACATGGTGCAGAGGCCCAAGTGACCTGGAGACTGAGATGCTGAGCAGAGTCCAGGATCAGTCCCAAAGAGCTTGAAAGAGTGTGGGAGGGCAGCATCATCATCCCCGTGTTGCTGCACTCACTGGGTCTCTCCAGGATGCAGAAGCACTTCTGGCTCCAGAGGGAATGGGAAGGGCCCCCACAGCAGTGAAAGTGGCAGTGATTCACCAGGCTAGGCCTCTGATGCCAGCTGCATGCTGTCACTCAGCTCCAGTCTCCTGGTGCTGAAGCTGCTCACCTAGGCTTGGCAAACATGGGAAAGCATTTTTTTGTTGTATTTCTTTTGCCTCCAAGGTGAAAACCCCAGGAGAAATTACTCAAGAAGCAGTGACTGCTTCATGCAGGGTCAGGAGAGGCTCTGTTGCCTCCTTCCTGCACCTCCAAAGGGGTGGCAGAGGATAATTGCTGGGCAGGAGTGAAACAAGCTCTGAGAAGGGTCCTGGAGGGCTGAGAAAGGACAGACCTCTGCCCAAAAAGGGGTGAGGAAGAGAGACAGGGTTGCATGCCTGCTTGTCACTCCTCCAGGAGAAGCCTGCTGCTCTCATGCCTTGCTGAGGGCTCAGCTCCCTCGGGTGCTTTGCTGACAGCTATTCCTCATGGCAGGCAGGAACCAAGGGGGCTGGAGCTCTGCCTGTTTCAGCTGCCAGACTGATGGCAGCCTGAGGCTGCTGCACACACTTCAAGGTTTTGGAGGAGTGAAGGCAAAGCACAGGTTACTCAGGAATTAGAACAGGCGAATAGGAGACTTTTTGCCACCAGGAAACTCACATACAGGCAGCATGTTCAGCCCCTGGGTGCACAAAAGTTTTGGCACCACTCCTGTTGGCACGGTAGGCGTCACTGCAGGGGAGAGATGGTGAAAAGCCACTCTGGCTAGATGCCAGGTGAACCTCTGGGAAGCACCTGATGAGCTGGCCACTCCTACAAAACCTTACTCAATGCCCAGAGCCAGGGAAGCCAGGCCATGCTGCTGCGGGGAGCAGAAGTGCCTCCCCATCCTCTGCCCTGCCCGCCTTTGTGCTGTGGTGTGTACCAGACCCAGATCCAGCCCGGGCTCTCTCCTAACCCTGTCTTCTCCCAGAGAAGTTTCCCAACCCAGCTCATGCTGAGACTGCAAATATTTTGACTAGCCAGAGGAAAGGGAGCAAGAGGCCAAGGAGAAGGGCCACTCCTCCCCAGAGCAGCACCAGACCAGGAAGGACAGCAGAAAGGCTCCGTGAGATGCAATCTGTGTCCCGTGCCTGGGGCAGGTTTAGCACATGGCAGGAGGAGCTCCCTGATTCTTGTCTACTGCACACCCCACCAGTGCCCAAAGGCCTTTGCAGGGGTAGCTGCAGAAAAGGCTGGCTATTCCAACAGCATCATCCTTCCACGGACTTTTGGATCCTCCATGTCCTAAACACAGACAATAGAAACATGTCCCTCATGTACACAAATACTTTTGCCACCTTCTGTTTCTTGTTCCCCTGAGGGACCAGAAATCCCATGGCTCAAGCTTGACTTTTACTTGAGTTTCTGGGCATGTCTGACACACGGGTGGAGCCAGGACAAGCACAGAGTCCCCTGGGGCAGCTACTCAAGCCAGCACTGTCACACAATATGTTTCCAGCCCACGTGGAAATCAATGTGCTCCCAATGCATTGTGCCAGCAGTGAGCCCTCTGCTGAGTGGGGAACCCTACAGGCCCAGCTCCCTCATTCTGGGGACAATCACTGAATCATAGAAAGGTTTGTGCTGGAAGGAGATCTTGAAAACCATCTGGTTCCAACCCGCCAGCCGTGGGCAGGGATAGCGATGAGAGCATCCAGACAGCAGCCGGCAGCCCCGGGCCTGCTGGGCGCTGCTGCTCGGCCCAGGCAGCGGGAGCGGGCATGGGGACTGTGAGCGGTGTTGGTGCGAACGGTGTCGGTGTGAGCGGTGTCGGTGCGAACGGTGTCGGTGTGAGCGGTGTTGGTGCGAACGGCCCCGGCGGGCGGAGCACGAGGTCACCGCGCCGGCTCCTGCCCGGGGCTGCCGCGCTCGGTCCGTCCTGCCGAGCACCGCTCTGAGGCGCCGCGGCCCCGGCTCCTGCAGCCCCGCACGTTCTCTCCACTCAGGCCCGTCACAGGCAGCCGCCGCCGCCATCCGCTGCCCGCCTCGCTCTCCGCCGCCCCGGCTCCCGTGCCCACGGGCCGCATCCCGGCCTCCCGCCGCCCCCGGGCCCTGCCCGCCGCTGCGGCCCTCACCCCGCGCGGGCCCAGGCGCCGCTCGCCGCCCCCGGGCCCCGCCGCCGCCCCGGCCCGGCCGGCCCGGCCCGCCCCGCACTCACGGCCCCGCCCGCCGCTCCGGTCTGTTTGTGCCGCGCCGAAGTTCCGAGCGGGCCGACAACGGAGACAGGCCCGAGCCCGTGACGCACTTCCGGGAACCGCCGGGCACGCCCACGTGACACGCGGGTGAGTCACGTGGCGCGGGGCCGGGGCGGCGCGTTCCCGCGGCACCGGGAGCGCGCGGGGAGCCCCGGTCCCGCCCGCGGGTTCGGCTCTGCCCCGGGACACCGCCGGGCCGCTCTGCGGGGTCCCGGCTGTGCTGTGACCCCAGTCCCGCCGCCGATTCCCGCCCCCAAGCCCCGCCGTGCCCCACACCCGGTGGCGGCCAGCTCCCACCCCGGGAGAAGCCGCTGCGGGCCCCCGCGGCACGGGGCGGAGGTGAGGCGGTCTTGCTCTGCGACTTTATTCACACGGGGTGCAGGCCCCACCCCGCCCACCGCTGCGGGGCAGGCGGAGCTGGGCGCTCCAGGGGGGTCCAGGCCCCTCCGGGGGATCACTGGCAGGTGTTGTAGATCTGGACCTGCTGGTTGATGGTGGCCAGCACCTCCCTCATTCTGGCCTCCAGCCCACCCAGCTGGGCTGCTTTGGCATCCAGCACCCGCTCGTTCCGCTCGTACTCCTCCTCCAGTGCTGCGGGAACAGGGGAACGTGAGTCAGCCCGGCCTCCCACCGCTGCCCCCACCGCCGCCCCAGCATCCCCCCTCCAGCCTCACCTCGCAGCCGCTGCAGCTTGCCTTGAGCATCCTGCAGCAGCCCTGCGGCCTCCTCCCGCAACTGCTGTGCCCGGCTGCCCGCCTGCTGCACGCCCTGCGCCCGGTGCTCCACCAGCTCCTGTGCTGTCCGGTACCGGTCCCGAAGTGGCCCCTCCAGCACCTGCTGGGCAGTGGGGCTGGTCAGCAGGATCGCCAGGGGACCCCTGCTAACACTGGTGCCCCCGATCACCCACCTGCTTGGCCTCGCCAGCCCGGTCCCGCGCAGTGCCGGCTGCCTCCTGGGCACGTGTGGCTGCCAGGCTGTTGTTTGCACGTTTCACCTTCAGAGCATCAGTCTGCCTGTCCAGGAGCCCAATCTGCTCCATGGCACCTGCCAGCTGCTGCTCTGCACCTCCTGTCTGGCTCTGCATCTGCGGATCGGTGGCATGGCAGTTTGGTGTGGTCCTACTGATCCCAAGGTGGGGATGGGCTCCCGTGGTTGTAGGGATGGGGCTCTTACCATGCTAAGGGCACTGTTGCTGTGCTGGATGTCACCAGCAGCTTGCTGCAGTGCCTGCTCAGCCATGCCCTGGGCTTGCCGTGCCTCCTCCAGCGCCTGCCGCACTGCCTCGGCCGTGCCCCGCACTCCCTCTGCCCGTGACCTGCGGCCACACAGCAAAGCCTCAGCATGGCCCCGGCTGGGGTCCTCGCAGGGATTGTGTCTTCATGTCCTTGGGCTCACCTGGCCCGCTGGGCATCCTGCAGAAGCTGCCCAGCCTGCTGCACGTCACTGGCTGTCTGCTCCAGGATGGCATCCACGCTGGCCAGGCTGCGCACCCGCGTCTTGATCTCCTCGGCCAGGCGGTGGATCTGGTCCGGTGCAGCGGGGAGTGACAGCTCCAGTACCCGACCGGCTACCACCTCAATGCTCTCAGGATCAGCCCCCTCCTCTGCAGATGGAAGCAGTCAGTGTGTTCCCTATAGCACGCTGGGGTGGGGGGGGCAGGCAGACCAAAGGGCAGAGGGAAACACGGGACAGGGCAGGGGGGGCAGAGGTGGCGGAGGGCACAGGATGGTTGGGGCAGGGCAAGGACCATGCAGTGCAGCATGGGGCAGGGGTGGCACTGCCCACATGCAGTGTCAGGACAATGCAGTGCAGGGTCAGTGCAGTGTGGTGCAGGTGCAGAGCCACAAAGCCCTGGGTAGGGGTGGCCAGCCCTCCCGGCATGCCGGCACTCACGGCTCAGGAAGGCCTTGACGTGGCTGATTAGCTCCCTCAGCTCCTTGTTGGAGCTCTCCACACGGGCCCTGGTCTGGTTCGCCTTGTCCAGGGCTGCCTGCGCTCGCAACCGGGCCTCGTCTGCCTTCCCCTTGGCCTCTGCCACCTGAGCATGGGCAGAGACCCTTGGTGCCCGCCCCAAGAGCTGCAGAGCATGGCTGTGCCACCAGATCCCACCAGCACCCATGTGCCACACACCTTGTGGGAGAGCTGGGCCATGTCGCTGGCAGCCTGACGCAGCTCCTCCTGGGCATGGCGTGCCCGGTCCAGAGCACTGTCAGCCTTGGACACAGCTCCACCACAGCTCAGACCACCACAGCGTCGTCCCCCGTCCTCATCCCGGCACCCAGCACCCCCACAAGGGCTCTCAGCACAGGGCACATCTCCCACCACACCGCAGACCTGCAAGGCAGCGTGGGATCAGGGCAGCTCTGGGTGCCATTCCCCGGTTCCCTCCCTGTGTCCCACCTTCTCGTTGAGCGGGTGCAGGCTCAGTGCCTGAGCCCTCGCTGCCAGGTCCATCAGTGCCCGCCGGCTGGCTGCATTGTGGCGGTTGAAGTCATCCCGCTGGCTGGCCAGGAGCTGCTCAGTGCGGTGCCGAGTGGCTGCCGAGATGCTGACGGGGCTGGGCACGGCACGGGTGGAGGCGTCTGCCTGGCGCTCGGCCTCCTGTGATTCCTTATAGGACTGACGAATACTGTCATAGGCACCTGGCAGGGACAGGGACACAGTCTGACACAGTCAGACCCCTGGCCATGGCCTGACCACCCCGGCCTGGCTCTGTGGCGTGACTCACCAAGGAAATTGGAGGTCTTGAGGGTGTGTAGCCTCTGTTCCAAGTCCTGCAGGCTGTGGTTAAAGGCACGGGTGCCCCGGTCCACAGTGTTCAGCACATGGCTGGCATTGAAGTTGGCGTCCTGAGCAGCCGTCAGCTCCCCTTCCACCCGTGTCAGCCTCTCAGTTGCCTCCTCAATCTGCCGCCTGCAAAGGAAGGGGGTGAAAAGCTGCCCCTATGGCTGCCCTGAGAGCCGTGCCCTGTGCCAAGTGCTCACCGCAGCCCCTCCATGGTGTGTGTCAAGTGGGCAGCAGCAGCAGCCGTGGCGTTGCGGGTGGCCACCACGTCACGTACGGTGGCCAGGTTCTCCTCCAGCTGACGGAAGGTGCCCTGGAAGGCGCCGGCAGCCCCGGTGTGCTGCAGGAGGCTGGCCCGCTCTGCCAGCGCTCGGGTACGGGCGGCCAGGTCCTGCACCACGCGGTCCCAGTCCCCAAAGCAGGGGTGGCAGGGCTGGCAGGCAGGGAAGGTACCAGCAAAGCCTCGGGCACACTGGTCACAGCGGACTCCAGAGATGCCAGGCCGGCAGTCGCAGTGGCCACTGCTGCGGTGGCATTGGGCACTGGCTATGCCACGGGGGTCACAGTCACAGGCTGCAGGGAAAGTAGTGTCAGGGCACCATCGGGTCCACTGTGGTCCCCCCACTGGCACTGGCTCTCACCTCGGCACTGCTGCCGTGGGTCACCCCAGTGGTGCTCCTGGCAGTCGGTGCAAGTCCGGCCACCAAAGCCTGGCCGGCAGGAGCACTGCCCTGTGAACTGACAGACATGGCATGGCCCAGGCTGTCACTGCTGCAGCACACCCCCAGCCCCATCCCATCCCCCCAACACCTGTCCCTGTCGTGTCTCACCTGGTTGCAGGTGGGTGTCAGGGAGTGCTGGGGGTGGCAGGCACAAGGCTGGCAGCCTTGCCCGCTGGCCAGGTTCCAGAAGTTGGGGCTGCAGCGGTCACAGCTCTGGCCCTCCACATTGGGCAGGCAGTGGCACTGCCCGCTGTGCCTGTCACAGTGGCACTGCTGGGGCCCACAGGTGCTGGGATCAGTGCCCAGGGGATTGCAGGAGCAACCTGGAACCAAGAGGCACTGAGCAGAGATAGAGATGAAGGAATGAAGACAATGATGGGAATGAGATTGGGATGGAGGTGGGATGGAAGTTCTGATGGGGACAGAGCAGGAGTTGGATGATGATGGATGAGCGTGGAAGCAGGATGGTGACAGAGATTGGGCAAGGATGGGGTGGGGATTAGATGGAGGTGGAATGTGTGCAGCATGAGGACCACTGGTAGGGATGGGATGGAGATGGGACCAGGGTCAGCATAGAACAGGAATAAGGACAGGATGGAGACAGATGGATAGCAGGGAATGGGATGGCAATGGGGACAAGAATGGGCATGAGAATAGGATATAGATGGGATGGAGTAAGATGGACATGGGGACAGGGACTGGGCCACAGTGCTGGCCTGGTCAGAGGAGACAACCCTGTTACAGGGCAGGGCTGCAGGGACTCCACAGCCCTGTGCACAAGCAGGGGCAGCCATTGGTGCACATTATCCCCAGAGATGTGTCGGGCCCTGGAGGCAAGTCTGTCTTGACATGGCAGTGGGTACTCACGCCTGCAGCTGTGTCGTGTGGCATCTCCATAGAAGCCGGGCTGGCACTCGGCGCAGTGGGGCCCTGCGGTGTTGTAGAGGCAGCGCAGGCACTGCCCTGTGCGCCGGTCGCACGCCTCTGGGTCCGTCACATCGATGTTGTCGTGGCACTGGCAGGGCAGGCAGCGCCCGCCCTGCAGAGGGTCCCCATAGTACCCAGGGGCACACTCATCACAGCGGGAACCTGCTGACACAGGGCGCTGGGCAGTGCCTGGGAACAGGGCACCCCAGAAGACACCGAGTGTGCCGTGGCAGGCACCCACCTGTGTACCCAGGGCTGCAGTGGCAGATGACCTGCTGGGAGCGGCTGTCTTGGTAGCAGGAGGCAGCGAAGTGGCGGGGGGTGCTGGGCCCCTC